GAGCTGCAGCAGGCGGCGCACGCTGTCACAGCTCTTCAGCCGATGCGTCACGAGCTCTGCCGGCAGCGGCGCCGACGTCCGCAGCAGGTGCCACGGGACTGTGTGAGCCATCGACGCCTCGCCTCGGCGGTTCGGGCGGCTCGGCGCGATGGCCGCCGCGGCGACGGAGGACGGCGGCGAGGCGGAGGCGGAGGAGGCGGGGCAGCGACGGCCCTCGCGACGACCGGCCGCGCCGAGCAGCAAGCCCGCCGATCGTCGGCGAGCTGCCGACGACATTTTTTATGTTCGGGGAAAGAAGAAAAACGCAGCTATTCCGAAGCTCGGGTGGGTTGCATGTGGGCGGCGCCGCTCACTCCCAGACCGCAGGATGCGCTGAACCATCGCGGGCCGCGCGTCCGCGTGGCCGTGTGTGAGTGAGTATTACACACACACACACGCACACGCTTGGCCGCTTTGTGTATCTCGAGACCTCGAGAGAAGGCCGCCCGCAGGGCGGGGCCCAAGTCATGAATTGGCTTTCTTTTCGGCGGGCAACGCGTCCGCCAGCCACTGAACTTGGAGCACTTGGAGTGCAGCCTCTGTCCCGGGGGGCGCTTACCTAAAGAGGCTGAAACAAGCGGTTCAAGACCATAAGAATTTTCGCGGGCTGCGCGCTCAGTCATTCGATTGGGTTGGCGCGTCTCCGGTCCTACGATGTTCGCAGCGCGATGCTTATCTACAGCGCGACAAACGGCATCGCAAACCTTGCACACCCGCCACCGAGGCCGGCGCTGCAGCCTGCATTGATGCAGTCTCGTGCACTCGTCGAGATGTTGAGCTTGAGCAACGCTACGGCTGCAGAGCTAAGAACGCCTGCATCAATACAGAGTCGCATGAAAACACTGCTGCGCTTCCCATCACGTGCTGCACTTCACGACGTGCTGGATGGACCGTACTACCCAGACGCCCGCCCAGGCTATCAGAGAGCGTTGATCAGTGTCACTCTGCTGACAGTCACGACAGCTTGCGTAGTAGGCACTGCTGCACGGCTTGTATGGCCGCTCACGGAGCGGCTTCACTCCCTGCTTCCGATCGGATTCTTCCCAGCACTCGACACGACGAAGGTGTATTGCCACCCACCACCATCTTCATCACCACCCACCACCACCATCATCTTCAGAGTGCGCGCCAGTCCCGTGCCCATACGAGTCGATGTGCGCAGAGGGAGTTAGTTGGAAAAATCTTCTTATTTTATTCTTCCGCTTAGGCGGCTCCCGTGGTGTACCTGTGTTAGTGCCAGTGCGCGCCAGTCCCGTGCCCGGTGTCGTGCGACGGAGCGAAATTCTAAAATTCTTTTTGAGAGCGCCTTCGTTTTTAATAATACAAACACTGGTCCCGTGTCGCAGTCACACTTTTCCATATTCTTTTTTGAGAGCGCGTGATAATGCGATCTCTTTTCCTTGTTCAATCCTTCCGTTCCTTTCTCTTCTTGCGAGTCAAAATTCTTTTTTGTGAGCGGACCGACTTCGAGGAGTACAGCTTTTGGACCGGATGGAGCACGAGTACCGAGCCTTCGAGGACGCTGGGCCGAGCGAGCGGAACGACGACACCGCCGCGAGCACACTTACCCGTCTGCGCGGCGCGGCGCTCGATGCGGGAGGCAACAGCGCCGCCGCCGTCACCGCCATCCAGCTCGAGAGGTTTCCCGCCAACACACAGCGCTCCACCAAACAAACCTTCTCGTCAGCAGATTTCACCTCTCTCTACACGCGCTCGCGACTCGCACTGGCCTCGTGCAAACTCGCCACTTCCAGGCTCGCCGCCCCGCCTCCCATCACCGCCCACAGGCTCGCTGCCATCATCGGAGTCTCGATGGCGGAGCTGCAGGGCGGCCTGCAGCGCACGGCCGCGGAAGGCGGCACGCTGCACGCGAGCGGCGTCGTCGCCCGCCCGGCCGAGCAGATCGCGTTTGAGCCCGTCGCGGGCGGCACCTCCGACTCTGGTGTCCCACCATCCCCACACCTCCACCATGCCTACACACTGCAGCAGAGGGACGCTTCCCGGAAGTGTCGCGCGAATCCCCTCCTCCGCGTGTGCGCGACTCTTCAGGCGGCGTCACGACGGCGCTGCTCTCCGTCGCCGCGCGGCCGAGCGCGCTCGACTCCGCCGCTTGCCCAAAGGTGCCGAGCAGACGGGCGTTTGCCGGAGAGCTGCCCGCACTCCCCTGCCAATACCCACCCATATGCGCCGGTCGCGACTTCGGCGGCCATTGACTCTTCTGAAGTAGTCAACGAAGCACTTGTCACCGGCAGGCGCTGGTCGACCTCGGCGGCCAGCCCGTGCTTGCGCACGTCCTCTCCCAGCTGCATGCCGGCGGCGTGCGCCGCGTGGTGCTCTCGTGCTGCGGCGCGCCACCACAGGGACAGAGAAAAGAAACGGCGCCGACCGGCTAGAGGTGTGCACAGGTGCTCTCGTGCTGGGGGCGGCACGAGGGACAACAGAAAGAAAGGCGCGCCACGTATGAGAGTTGTGAACAGGTGCTCGTGCTTGGTCGACACGGCGACGCGATCCGTGCCGCCCTCGGCCGCCACCCGGTGGCAACTTCAGCTCTCGAGTGTGGCTCTGTTCACACCTCGCACACGCCGAGAGGCGTGAACAGGTCGCAGCTCAGCTAGCCCTCGAGTGCGTCGACCTCGGAACACCGCGCAGCGAGGGGCGCGGCACCTCTTCACAGCAGGCGTGTGAGAGCTGGAGAGCGGCGTGAGCAGGCGCGACGTACAGCGAGGGCCACGCGCCGTCGCTGCTGCGTGCTCGCGGCTGGCTTGACGGCCCGTTCCTGCTCTGCACGGCCGACCGCTTCTCCATTAATCGAGCGACCAGTCAGTTCGCTAATGAGTTGCAGGCCCGTTCCTGCTCTGCACGGCCGACCACTTCTCCATTAATCGATCGACCAGTCAGTTCGCTAATGAGTTGCAGGCCCGTTCCTGCTCTGCACGGCCGACCACTTCTCCATTAATCGAGCGACCAGTCAGTTCGCTAATGAGTTGCAGGCCCGTTCCTGCTCTGCACGGCCGACCACTTCTCCATTAATCGAGCGACCAGTCAGTTCGCTAATGAGTTGCAGGCCCGTTCCTGCTCTGCACGGCCGACCACTTCTCCATTAATCGAGCGACCAGTCAGTTCGCTAATGAGTTGCAGGCCCGTTCCTGCTCTGCACGGCCGACCACTTCTCCATTAATCGAGCGACCAGTCAGTTCGCTAATGAGTTGCAGGCCCGTTCCTGCTCTGCACGGCCGACCACTTCTCCATTAATCGAGCGACCAGTCAGTTCGCTAATGAGTTGCAGGCCCGTTCCTGCTCTGCACGGCCGACCACTTCTCCATTAATCGAGCGACCAGTCAGTTCGCTAATGAGTTGCAGGCCCGTTCCTGCTCTGCACGGCCGACCACTTCTCCATTAATCGATCGACCAGTCAGTTCGCTAATGAGTTGCAGGCCCGTTCCTGCTCTGCACGGCCGACCACTTCTCCATTAATCGATCGACCAGTCAGTTCGCTAATGAGTTGCAGGCCCGTTCCTGCTCTGCACGGCCGACCACATCTTCGACGCGCACGTCGTGCGCCAGTTTGCGGTCGCCTCCCTCCCCGCCTCCCTCGACGCGATCGCGCTGGTCGAGACGGACATTGCGTCGCACCAGCGAGGCGGGGACTAGCCGAGACTGCACGAGATTGCACGAGATTGCACGAGAGTGGACATTGCGTCGCACCAGCGAGGCGGGGACTAGCCGAGACTGCACGAGATTGCACGAGATTGCACGAGATTGCACGAGATTGCACGAGATTGGACATTGCGTCGCACCAGCGAGGCGGGGACTAGCCGAGACTGCACGAGATTGCACGAGATTGCACGAGATTGCACGAGATTGCACGAGATTGGACATTGCGTCGCACCAGCGAGGCGGGGACTAGCCGAGACTGCACGAGACTGCACGAGATTGCACGAGATTGCACGAGATTGCACGAGATTGCACGAGAGTGGACATTGCGTCGCACCAGCGAGGCGGGGACTAGCCGAGACTGCACGAGACTGCACGAGATTGCACGAGATTGGACACGGCTGGACGAGGCTGACGAGGTTAGACGCGATCAGAGGAGACTACAGGGGAGTAGACGCGGCTCCGGAGGACATTGCATGTGGGAGGAGCCCAGACTAGCCGAGATGCCGCCGAGATGCCGCCGAGATGCCGCCGAGATGCCGCCGAGATGCCGCCGAGATGCCGCCGAGATGCCGCCGAGATGCCGCCGAGATGCCGCCGAGATGCCGCCGAGATGCCGCCGAGGCGAGGCCGGCGCCTCTTCACCCCCCGCAGCTGTGAACAGGCCTCCCCGCCACCACGGTGCGCGTGAAGCTCGGAAGAGCAGCGGCGGACGACGAACACGGCGGAGGCAGTGGCGGTGATGGTGGCGGCGGCGGCGCCGGCGGCAGTGGCGGCAGCAGTGGCGGCGGCGGTGGCAGTGGCAGCGGCAGCGGTGGTGGCGGCGGCGGAGGCGGAGGAGGCGGAGGAGGCGGGGGAGGCGGAGGAGGCGGAGGCGGTGGCTGTGGTGGCGGCGGAGGCGGCGCCGGCTTCTTTTGCGACGGCGTGCGGGCGGTGCTCGGCCTCGGGACGGCCGTTGCGGACGCAGACGGCATCGAGGCTTGCCTGTGCGTGTGCGGTCTTGCGCCACCATCTACCTCTATGCTCACCAGCCATGTTTGATCAGGCTTGCCTGTGCGTGTGCGGTCTTGCGTCAACCTCTCTCTGTGTGTGAATTCACCGCGCCTCATCAGGCTGGCTTGTACGTCTGCAGCCCGGCGGTGTTTGAGGCGATGGC